ATTATGAAATGTGTAATTTTCTTTTTTTTAACTCATATTTCTTAACTCTTTCTATTAGTTCCTTAAGCCTTCGATTAAATGCTCATGTTGTATTATATAAGAAAAAATGACAATTCAATAGTGTGGAATTTTTGTTTCTTTTGATCTTTTCTTCTTCTTCTTCTTTTTCCTCTTCTTCTTCCTCTTCTTCTTCTTCTTCTTCTTCTTCTTCTTCTTTGTTTATCGATGTTTATTGTTTCTGACATTCAGACGATAGAATTGAAAGTTTTATTATAATCGCAACGATTCGAAACAATTGAATTTGCAATAATAATGTTTGCCAATCCACGTGCAGCGGTAGATAATTGTTAAAGAAATTGATGATTTTGCATTATTCGTGTTGCAAATTGGTAAAAATGAAAAAAATAATAATAATAATAATCAGCCGTCTGTCTTGCAAAATTTTCAGTTAGAATACCAATTTGGAGCAATGGACTTTATAATTTCACAATTTTGCAACTTAATGGGCCTGGCGGCTTATTTTCAAATTACCTCGTTTTATTTTCCATTTTATAGATAAATTATCAGTCGGGTCCATTCGAACATCCATTAAAGAACGAAATATCGTTATCCTGGCGCATATTTAGACAAATGGTAAGCGCTCCTCCTCGCTAAAGTACTCGCATAAAGTAAAAATAATCAATGGGCTGGGCAATTATTTGCCAATTGAACAAAGAGAAGCGCTGAATTCACTTGGAGGAGGCAAAATGGGACCCATTGCCAGCCGACATTGGCCTTCAGTAGTATCAATTGGGATTTCGAAATAAAGAGATAAAGGACGGAAGGAAGTGATAAAGGCAGGGTGTATGCGTAGATTTAAAGGGCTTGAGCGATCGTCTCGAGGATTAAAACTCGAGCCACTAAGTGCGGAGTAAGTACTTACTCTATGTACGTATCGAGAGTAGCGAGAAGGACGCGACGCCTCGGCGCAGCGGAGCAGCCACTTCTGTCCAATCAGAGCGAGGAGGAAACAAAAGAAAGGTGAAAAGAGATTTATCGACCCGTGGAGATCGAGTCTTATATACATCCTGTGGCGTTGGTGGCTCATGGCTTCTGGAAATGATGCAAAAACCCGCCGAACCTTACAATTATTACAGATCGTCCGCTCATCTCTTCTCCTCCTCCTCCTCCTCCTCCACCACCACCGCCGCCACCTCTCGGACTCTTTTCTCTTTTCTAAGCAACGGATGGCGTCTACTCGATCTTTGGCTAATTTTCATTTTTTTTTCTCTCTCCTTTTTTAACTTTAACGCTACCTTTGTCAATATCGTCGCGCTGCTTTTACATTGGCGTCGCGAAAGTACGCCTATTGACGTTTCGCTCGCTCATTTTATCGTCGACTCGTCCTCATTTCTTTCCTCATATTTTATTTCAAAATCGGCGTTAACTTATTGGTACGGATTTATTCGAATGGCCATAGTAAAGCTTCAGAATTATTAGCGGATGAGGGATCCGGGGTAGATGAGATAATGTAGAGTATTGACTCTTCCACGCTGGTGAAAAATATTTATTTCTTTAATGCCAAAGTACACGCTCCATCGATGTAAGAACGATACAAAAAAAAAAAAAAAAAGGCAGAGAACGAAATTTCATTTTTTTTTTTTTTTTTTGCTCCCGACTACTTTGATCAATATTTTTCGAAAATAATGAATTTATAAATCATGGCTAGAATGTTCAATCGTTACTCTCAATTGTTCGATTTTCATTGCTCGCAGATTCCATATCATCGTAAAAAGACGAGGGCTACCGCTGTTGATTAATTTTCTCCACTTGTTATCGCGATAATTTTATGATTCGTGAAACCTATAAAATACTTATTTGAAATTCTTTTGCGATACATTATTATTTAGCACCGTATGTCTAAACATGAGTATTTCTAATCTGACATTAAAATCCGTTGAACTTACACCCTATGTAGTCCAGAGGCATTTGTTCACATTGCCTTATCTCCCATTTAACAGAGCTTTAATAAAATCAACGGCTTATCATTTTATATTGCTGTTGCTTATTATTATTATTGTTATTATTATTACTATTATTATTTATTATTATTTATTATTATTTATTAATTATTAATTATTAATTATTGTTATCATTATTATCATTATCGTTATTGTCTATTTACTTTATTTCTATTTCAGAGTGCATGGGGGTACTCGTAGGTCATGGAACTTCAATAAAACTGTGCGATCGCTTAATCTTGCGGGCCCGAAATGGAAGGCTGGCTGCCTTTTATGAATGTGACGGTACTCGTAGCATGCGATCGTGGACTTTGAAAAGAGGCAGAGTCAACCAATAAAGACTGCTCCATGTGTCTTCATAGTGGATCCTACGTTTTACAAAGAGGGACGTGGCCACGAAGGAGCCGACGATTGCATGCAATATCGTGGCAATGATTCATAAATGTATATTTTACAGCAGCCATTTAGAGAATGAATTCCCGCTGACAAAGGTATATAATCTTCCTATTTAAAAGTATGTATGATATATTCTTTCGTACTTCCATTCATAACTGTCAGGTCAAATTTCCATAATGAATTATATTTGTTAACACTACTAAATAGCGCTCGTACCCTTTTTTTTATGCTTACCGTATAAAAGGTCAACAAAATCATTCCTCGAATGAATCGAATACAGATTAAGTATGCTTCCCGTTGTTATTTAAGAGTAATTTATGTAGATTATAAGAAAAAGGCTAATTTTTTACTGAAAGCTCGCGTGAGCTTTTTGTTTAATAAGTAGGGGAAAGTCGAATGAGATTTTTTCGATTAAAAGCAGTTTGACTTGCAGCAGCTGCTAGTTGTCTCTGATTTTCGATAATTAAATCTTGCAATATTTAACAATATTATTGCGATAATAGAAAAGCAAATACATAAACAACTTGCTTAGATTATTGCATAGATTTATCTGATAATCATTCGTATGATATATATATATATACAAGCGTGTGCGTATGTTCACAAAATTCTAAATAAGAATAGAAAGTATTCTTGTTTAATTTTCAATTTAATTCTTATTTAGTTGTTATTATTATAATTAAACAATTATTTCACTTTACTTTTAAGACATATTATTTCATGCTAAATTTGTAAGCACATTTTTATCGATTATAATTTAACCTTATTTATATTATATTCATATTGACTTTATAAACTGATTATGAGCTTATATAAAAGTTCTTTCACTTTTAAGATGAATATTACGCAATTATAATAAGATTTTTTACATAATTTCGAGAGAAAAAAAAATGAAATGAAATGAATAAAATTGATTACTATATATGATTTATTTATTAGCGTAGAATATATGGATCATTAGTTAATTAAGTCATAATATGGAGTTCTAAATTATTAATATAATGTAATAAAATTTCTTGAAAGGCATTCTAACTCAACAAAAATGTATTAACGTGTGTGTTGTTTAAAAAAAAAAAAAAAAATTCTCTTGACTCGAAAGAATGTAAATACCAAAGCAAATGAATGAATGATGATAAGAAAAATAAGCTATCTAATTGAAATATAAAAACGAAAGTTGAATGATCGAATATACGGTCCACTTAGTCTGATTATAATATCAAGATTGATCATTTTCTAGATCGAGTTCAGGTTCAGATATATTTTACTTGTTACGCGTGTACGTGCACATATACGCGCCTGCAAGGAATTCAGGTCACTATCCAGTTGTTAAATTTTATATCTCTCATAGAAAATATGGATATTTCGTCTTGAGAGAAAAATTATTGGCATCGCCATCTATGTATTACATAATCGATTGACTCACTTTCAGCGAAAAAGTGTAAAAATTAATTTCTAAAGAGCAATAGCTTTGTGTCGACTGCTTAATTAATAACTAGAATTCATTTATTTATGTATAAAAAAGATTGTTTATAATATGTCTAGTCAAAAAATACATATAATTATAAAGTTGATATAAAGAATCTGTTCGAGTTCATTTAAAAACGCTTAATTTAAAAAATTTATTCACATAATTACAATTTCTATGAAAAAAAAGAAATCATTGAACAATAATTCCACGTAGTTTCTAGATAAAAAGGGAAAGCCAGTGAAATTTAAGAATGTTTATCATGATATACGATAACAATATATTTAATTTAAAATAAAATTTTTCATAAATGAATAATTACTTATTTGAGTTAAGCAAAGTATTTAAATTTCAAAAAATTACTATTAATGATATCTATTTTTAATATTAAAAAATTTTTATATATGAAAGTGTAATTGAAAGATTTAAGTAAATTGAAATTAATTTTTGTTATTTTTATAATGAGGTAATTCTTTCCTTTTTTTCGTTTCGAGATTAAACGGTAATAAATGTATTCAATTTTATTGCATGGAGATATTTGAAACAGGATTTTCTCGGAAAACACGTCTAAATATTTACAAGATAAATGAGCGACTCCTTAAAAAAATTTGCTGTTTGCGGATAAGGAAATATTTTATGATGTTGGTATTTGCAACTTATATTTTATCTATAGCTACGAGGAATATTAATTTAATAATAAAGTTATTTCTCTACTTAAAACTTAAAACACTTGTAAAAAACACATAGAAAAATTAATATCTTCGTGGAATGTGTAATATTTTAGATGAAACTTTTAATTTTAAAACTTGGCACATTTATTTGAAAACTTACTCTTACTTTCATTAATTATGATTGTGAGTTTTAGTTTGAGCTTCCTCAAGTTTTAAGTCCATATAAATAATAATAATAACATCTTACAACTTATCCAAGTATTTTATTGTTTGGTGCAAGCGAAGTGGGAGCTGATAATATCTAGCGAATATATATATATATATATATATATATATTCAACTTAATTACAATGAAAGTAAATGCTACCTACATTACCCAATGACTTCCAACGACCCATTTAATTAATTTAAAAGTGTTTTGTAAAAAATATCCCTCCTTCCCATCAAATAAAATGTGATGGCTCATAATTAGCCGAATACTAATTTGTAGCTGCTGAATAAAACACAAAATTATGTTAATTAAATAAGTGAAACGTGCCAGACTAACAATTCTCCGATTATTTTTTTTTTTTTTTTTTTTTTTTTTTTTCAAAAAAAAATTGCATAAAACACGTGGGAAATGAAGGAGAAGAGGAAGCCAAACATGTCGTAAGGGACATATATATTACCTTCTACCTAATAAAACGCCTAATTTTCGTGGAAATTTAATGGATACATTGGAATGGGAGGCGACTCGGAATATCCGGTGAAAACGAAAGTTCCACGCTCCCGGCATTATCGTTCGATCTTCTATAAAAAAAAAACTTAACAACACACTCACCCTTGATGCATATTATGCAACAGTGGCGCGGGTCTCGGGGGCGGCGATATCCTTTTCCCGGGAGTGCGTGGGACGAGAGGCGGCGGCGGTGGGTGGGGCGGTGAGCTCCTGGTGGTCGGGGCCACGTGGGGCTTCGTCGCCTCCCCGTATTTAGGCAGCAGCGCGAAGTAGTCGCGGTGCTGGTACTTGCCGAGGCCGTTGCGCGGACTCCTGGTGCTGGCCTCGGTGGTCTCGGTCCTCTGGGAGCTCGTGGCCTTGGGCACCTGGGGTCGGGGCTTCTGTCGGGCGGAGCAGTCGAGGCGCAATCCCTTCGGCTCGTCCGTTATCAGCGCCTCCTGCCTCACGACATTCGGCTCCGACTGCGCCTAAATTGGCATCGGAAAGGATCAGAGGACTGCCGGGGCTGCTTTCCGCGAACGAACCTCGGTACTCGAGGACGAAGACGAATCGGCACCGCTTTACCCATTCATCGGCGACTCCATTCTTGTTCGTTTCGCCCTATGTACTCTACGAGCGATCAACGACGCGCCGCGCGCAACGTGAAATTTATCAAAGACGCGACAGAAAATAGTATTTTTCCATTCCCATCAATAATTTCACGATAGGCAAACGTTTCTTTTAAATCAAATGCCGTTGTATCAATTAATTTAAGAGGTACGAGGAATTTTATCTCCTCGATTGATCATCACAGTCACATTGTCGCTCCACCATACTTTATTCTCTACTTTATTGGAAATTCATGAAGAATTTAATAATATTATGCTCGTTCACATGCTCGCTTCATGTATCTTCATACGTTTATCTAATACATCGTAATATATAATTGCTTTTATCATTATCATTATCATTATCATTATCATTATCATTATCATTATCATTATCATTATCATTATCATTATCATTATCATTATCATTATCATTATCATTATCATTATCATTATCATTATCATTATCATTATCATTATTATTATTATTATTATTATTATTATTATTATTATTATTATTATTATTATTATTATTATTATTATTATGGCTATTATTACAATTATTACTATCAATCATGGTTCTTATTGAAATTTGAAGGTTATTATTATTTTGTTAAAGCCGTATAAAGTAGGTTTTTTATTCTGTTATTGTGTGCGTCTAGGGGAATGATAATTGCACGACGTCATCACAATTTTAATGATCTTGGCAATACTGACGAATCTTTCAATATTCATAAAATTTTCCGACTCTTTTATCGCCTATAATGATGAACTTTCGGCTAATTTGACAAGGTTAAGACGGTCGCGATGTACGTATCGCTTCGTATATAAAGCAAAGGTAAATTCGCGAGTTGTTTGTTCACATGTTTTTCACAAGTTGTATGGGTAAAGCTCGGCGCAACAAACGGCTACATTAAACGCTCGTTACGTTAAAGATTTCGGTTACGTTAATCGCAAAAAATTTCTTTCCCGATTCGAAAGAAAGCGCATTACCTCCCGACAAGCACTACTGTTCGTGACCGGCACCTGGGGCGCGGGCCTCTGATGTCCAGAGTCGCTGTACTTTTGTGCAATTAGATCCGGGAGCTGGTTCACCGAGCCATAGGGCACTAATCTGTCCTCGGTGGATCTTCTCACTGCGGCTATTTTCTCATTCATCAGGTGCTTCTGGGCGGAGGAGTAGCGTAAGCTCGAGCGACCATTGGCCAGGATTCGGCCGTTCGTGAAAACGTCCATCGCTGGTTTGTGGTCGATTATCGGTAGCGTCGCGGCGCTTGGTTTGCCGTCGTGGTGGAAGTTGCGGTTCTCGGCGAGCGACATTGGCTTGGATTTTGTTGCCGACTTGGTCGGCGACGTCTCGACGGACGTCTTCTTGCGGCTCGATCTTCTCGACGAGGAATTTCTTTCCTATTATGAGAATATGAGAATTAGTCGTGAGTTATTTCGGGGAAAGTTTATGTGTTTGCGTGGGAAAGATCGCGGGAGGAGTTTAATGCCGAATTATGTCCGGGTTCCATCGTATAAACGACGATGGATTCGTTTGGATTAAGGCGGATGCTCACCTTGATTCGATCGCTGGGCGCATCGTTGAAAGGGGAATTGTCGTGTCGTTGTTCGACTGCCTTTCCGGATTCGTTGGGCGAGGCTGGAGTGAACTCGGGCG